TAATCTCTTTTAAGAAAATGAGAATATTTGTCTCCTATTATCTGGCATATTTTCTCCTGGATCAGCTATGCCATTAATCATCAGGGTTCCATGGTAATAACTTCATGCTATTTTAGCAACATGCGCCTTTAGACATGGATTTAAAACACTTAGTATTGTCTTTCTGAGCTCCCCAGTTGGTGCTAGTGGTAAAGAATCCTCCTGCATTGCAGGAGACTGGGGTTAGATCCCTGGGTTAGGAAGATACCCTGTAGTAGGAAATGGCAACCTACTCCAGTATTCTTGCCTGGAGAATCCCATGGACAGAGGAGTCTGGCAGGCTACAGTACATGGGGTCGCAAGAGTCAGACATGACTTAGTGACTAAACCACCATTGTATACTAACTCATTTATTAGTCTTTCAATATGTACAAGACAAGACCCTCACTCAGTACTGAGGGTAAGGTTGTGCACACAGAATTTACAGTTAAATGGGGGACACAGAAATGCATAGAAAATTGTCACTGAGCATGACAATCCCTAAGGATGCTATGGGGGTCACGGGACAGGGAGGCAGCGCAAATCCAGGGCTGGTGGTGGTGGCACCTGATTAGATTTGCATTTTAAAAAGATTGCTGTTCAGTTGCTAAATCATGTCCAACTCTTTGCAACTCCATGAACTACAGCATGCCAGACTTCCCTGTTCTTCACGATCTCCCGGAATTTGCTCAAAGTCATGTCCATTGAGTCGGTGATGTTATCCAACAATCTCATCCTGTCACGCCCTTCTCCTCCTGCCCTCAGTCTTTCGCAGCATCAGGATCTTTTCCAGTGAGTTGGCTCTTCGCATCAGGTGGCTAAAGTTTTGGTGCTTCAGCTTCAGCATCAGTCCTTCTGCTGAATATTCAGGATTGATTTCCTTTAGGATTGGTTGGTTTGATCTCCTTTCAATCCAAGGAACTCTATGTGGTTGCTAGCCATACTTAAGAACTGGTCTTCTCAATCTGTAATGTTGCATAGGCCTCACCTGGGAATTTACAACAATGCAGATTCTGACTCAGTATGTCTGGAAAGGGGCCTGAGAGTCTGCATTTATAGCAAGCTCTCAGGTGAGGTTGATGCTGATAGTCCATAGACTACACTTTGAAGAGCATGGATCCAGAGAATGAGTCAGAGAATGAGATGAGAGGCAAGGATCAGGATTGGAAGGCTGGTGTAGGGGTCTATGAGGAAAATAATGATGCCACAAACTGAGGGACACTTAAACCTATATATTGATATCCTTGATGAAAAATATGTATTCTAAGTAGGCATTGATCATTTTCTGTTCATCTCCTGTTAATCACTGTATAGGATAAACCAAAAAATTAGAGGAGTAAATTCCAGGCTTAGTTCTTAATAAGTGGCCTCACTTTTAAGTTCACTGAGACCTCAGTTGTCTCACCTCATCTGTAAAATGGGAGGCTGTTTGTTATGGTTTAAGTTTTATCCCCTTACCCCAATTCATATTTTTAAGTCCTATTGCCCAGTATCTCAGAATGTGATCTTATTTGTTTGTTTTGGTTTTCATTTATTTTTATTAGTTGGAGGCTAATTACTTTACAATATTGTAGTGATTTTTGCCATACATTGACATGAATCAGCCATGGATTTACATGTATTCCCCATCCCAATCCCCCCTCCCACCTCCCTCTCCATCCCATCCCTCTGGGTCTTCCCAGTGTACCAGCCCTGAGCACTTGTCTCATGCATCCAACCTGGGCTGATGATCTGTTTCACCTTTGATAGTACACTTGTTTCAATGCTATTCTCTCAGGACATCCCACCCTCGCCTTCTCCCACAGAGTCCAAAAGTCTGTTCTGTACATCTGTGTCTCTTTTTCTGTTTTGCATATAGGGTTATTGTTAAAAATGTCTGTTTAGTTCTTTGGCCCATTTTTTGATTGGGTCATTTATTTTTCTGGAATTGAGCTTCAGGAGTTGCTTGTATATTTTTGAGATTAATTCTTTGTCAGTTGCTTCGTTTGCTATTATTTTCTCCCATAGAATGTGATCTTATTTGGAAACAGGGTAACTGCAGAAGTAATTAGTTTAGATGAGACCCTACTAGAATAGTAGAGTTGTCAGCCAATTGACTGGTGTCCTTAAGAAAGGAGGAAACCTATGCACAGACACATATTATTTCTCCAATAAGGAGAGAGACTTGGAACAGAAGGATTCTTCCTGGGCACCTCAGAATGAGCAAGGCTCTGCAGACACCTTGGCTTCAGCTCTCTAGTCTCCAGAACTGAGAGGCAATACATTTCTGTTGGTCTAAGCCACCCAGGTTTTGTATGGTCATACAGCAGTCCTAGAAAACTAACAGACTGATTTTAATTTGTACTTTGAAGATCACAGTTATGTCTGACACATTATCCATCTTTCCACACAACCTGTAGGACATCTCAACTATATGTGGTTACACATTTGTAAGCACCTATACTTCAATTAAATTAATTCAAGTAAATAAATAAACGTTGTTACACAAGAAGATTTCTGTTTTTCCATTCAACATTAATTTGTAATTTTTCTTTTTAATCCAGACTTTTCTTTAGAGACTTCTTTCTCTTTTGGCTTTTATTTATTTTTCTATGTAGATTTTTTTTTTTTACTAATAGGGTCAGTTGATTCAATGCAAAGAAAACACCACCTTGAGATCCTGGCTGAAGGGTGTAGATGTAGCATGATTTAAATGTGTTTTAGAGACAGACTGGAACAAGCATGCTTGTGGTGGGTCTGTCCTTACCTCAGCAAGAAGCCTCTTGGGAGTTATTTACTTTTGAACCATACAAGAATATTTTAGGAAAGCTTGTTAACTGTCCTATGTCATTCCAGCAACAGTAACATCAAGACCATAGAAACAACCAAACTTATCTTTTTTTTTAACTTACCTTAATATTAAAAAATAACAATTATCTTATTGTCTGTCACAGAAGAAACAGAATTGTCTTTTATTTCCCAATTAATGTAACTGATGTGGTGTACTCTTATTTCCAGAATCTAAAATTTAAAGAATAAAGAGAAAGGCACCTTCTTATAAGTAGGTGGAATTTTTCTCTAATATAAAAGGAAAAGGACCCTTCCTCTATCCCCGCCACTCTCCCTCTCCCTGTTAGGAACATATTAGACTCTGAATCCATTGGAAAAAGGAAGGAGTTGTGGGGATATTGGGGTTAAACAAACAACCTCAAAGAGGAATGGAATTAGTAGATTAGCAATGTCTTCTAGGTAGGAGGAGAATTGAGCACAGCTTTCCTAATGATCTTATTTCCTTTTCTGGATAATGAGTGGAATTTGTCAAGATCTCGAAATAATCACTTAGTCATCACAGTGTCTCAGTTTCTTTATCTACAAAACAGAGATAACCTGGCATAGAATATAAAAGGGATGGCAAGTGTTTCATAGAAAGATATTTGACTTTTTACTTAATGTCATATCTATGGAAAGATTTGCTTCAATAATAATAGCAGATCCATTTATTAAGCATATGGAATATGACTTCCCTGTAGCTCAAACAGTAAAGGATCTGCCTGTGATGCAGGAGACCTGGGTTCTATCCCTGGGTTGGGAAGTTCCTCTGGAGAAGGGAATGGCAATCCACTCCAGTATTCTTGCCTGGAGAATTCCATGGACAGAGACGCCTGATGGGCTACAGTCCATGGGGTCACAAATAGTTGGACATGACTGAGCAACTAACAGAAACACTATATATACTTCTAGGCAGTGGAAAGATGTTTTGCATACTTTTCTCATTTTTTTTCCTCATAACAACCCTACTAGGTAGATGGGCTTTATCTTCTCTTGATAGCTGTAGAATCTGAGGCTAGAGATGTTAATTCACTTTTTCAATGTCAAAAGGCTAGGAAGGCGCTGAGCCAGGATTCAAACTCACGTCTCTCAAGTCTGGGAGGATCCCAAATACCTGACTCCTGCTGCAAAGCGCACTTCAAGTGCCATGGCAGACCTTACCAGCTGACTGCAGTACTGACTTTGGAATCTCTCGGGGCACTCACTGTACAATCTCTTAGCACTGAGGGTAGGTAGGTAAAGCCCATTTCCCCTCTGAAGCCCATACTCCGTAACAGTAGTCCTAATGGTCTCATCTTCAGGGATTCTGACTTAATAGGTCTTGAGCCCCACATCTTTATTTTTAAGGATTCTCCAGGTGACTCTGATGATAGCCAGGTTTGGTGTCCACTACTTTCTGAACCTATGTTCAGTGAGGCTAGATCTTTTAGTTTGTCTGTTTGTTTGGTCTGTGGGTTTCTGAAAGAGAGGAAAGAGCTAAGGAAATGATTTTAGGAGGGAAAGGCACTTACTGACTGACTACTATTTATGGAATGTCTACTAGAAGAAAGGCAGGTCTAATATCTTCTCTTTCTTATGTGAACTACCAAAACTCTACAAGGAAGAATTGGTCAAAAAACGAGTGAATTTTAGAGATATATGAGTGTCCCCCTTCAAATGTGATTGTGATGAGTTTGGAAGAAGAAAGCCCTCTTAGTTATCTTCTTAGAAGCCCCTGCTTAGAGGAGTCTGGAATACAAGCAAAACTAAGTGAAACTCTTAAAATTTATGATTCATTACTAATCCCACTCCTTTAATTCATAACAAACTGACTAACAAACTTCCTCCCTCCCCCACCCCAAAAAAATTACTACATGTGGTAGGTTACAAACCTGATAAGGAGAAGCAGCAATGCTCCATTAATATTTATAAATGACTCAGTGCTTATATTTCCCATCTATCTGGAAAATCAGCTCAAGTAATTAAAGAGCAGGGGGAAAAAGCATCTTTGTAAGATGAAAAATTCAGGAAAACACTGTGCATAGAAGTTATCAACACTATTTTACTTTTACAGTTGCATCGTAATGACTTAATTTTCCATGGAGAGCATTTTAAAAATGTAAATTTCTAGATTAAAGAAAGCCTAAACTTCATTATCACCCAAGCAAAACGTATTTTTCAAAGAGTAAACTTACATTTTTGGCTTCTCCACAAGGTATCGAACGTGTTTACTTCCAATGATTTTCACCTTCATCTCAGGCATCACATTTGATCCACGGGGAGTCTTCCAAACTGAAGACATAATTCTCCAAACCTCTTCAAGTCCTTGGGGGTGGAAAATAAATAAAACTATTCCTCTGGGTTTTCCACTAGGCAACTGTAACATCCTTGTCAATAATAACAACAACAATAATAGTGAGGCCAAGTGTATTACCTATATTATAATCTCACTTAATAGTTCCAAAAAAAGCAAGAGAAAGATATTCTTAATTACTATTATCATTCTTGTCTCACAGTTGAGGGACCAGGCATAATATAGTAAGTAACTTTTCCAATATCACATAACAGTAATTAGCAGAATTGGAAATCCCATCTAAGAGGTTTGCAAAACTGGTTGACTGAGCCATTCGGTGATTGTCTTCCTATTCTACAGGTCACCAGATGGGATTCTAATGAGGTCAGAGAGGAAAGTAGGGCTTTAGAAGGACATGTGAGGAACTCAAATTCAGTTCTGATGCTCAGTACCTCCACTTATGAAACCATAATAATTCCAGTGCTGCCCTCTGGATTTAGTAACAATCCAATGACATCATGCATCTGAAGGAGCAATGTGCATAGAAAAGAGGGATTTTTCTTGTTATTGATGATCTGATTTTTCTACAATGCAGTGAATCTAAAATTGAGACCCTCCACTAATATTCACTGAGTGTTTAATCAGGTCTGCTGCTAGGGGAAACTGAGAAGTTCTATAAACCTGGTACCAGACTAACCATTCCCTGTTAGAACCTCTCAGAAATTGAAAGGCCTTTAGAAATCATTTCTTTTTTTAATGAAGGTTTTTAAACATTTAATTTTGTATTGGGGGTATAGATAATTAACTATGTGATAGTTTCAGGTGAACAGCTGAGGGACTCAACCTTACATACACATGTATCCATTCTCCCCCAAATTCCCCTCCCATCCAGGCTGCCACATAACACTGAATAATCTCCAAAGGCTCTCTTTACAGATTGGGAAACCAAGGCCCAGAGAGGGTGTTAATTGACCAAGGTCACAAAGTGATTGACAGCAGGCCTGGTTCCAGTACTTTGGTCTGATAACTAGAGCAGGGTTCTTCCCAAGACCCCCGTTCATCTAGTGTGTGGTCAGCAATTGGATCTGCTCTGGAGAGCAGTTAGGCCCCCAGATAGATTCTTTGAATCTATCTCGAAGCTTCAAGGACCAGAATTTGTGATTGTGGAGTCCCCTCTACCCAGGAGCTAGCTGCGTGTCAGTCCCGGGTCCTTTCCCCGGGGAGCTCAGAGCCGGCTGCCTTACCGCTCCGGAGGCTCAGGGGTGCGCGTTCAGTGCTTCTCAGGATTAGGATCTGCGGAGGCCTGTGGGGACCAAGGTGGGGCGGGGGAGCCAGCTCAGAAGTCGGGCCAATCACAGGGCCCGGCTCCTGGGCGGAGGCGGCTCCCACCCCAGGTAGTTAAGGACGCAGAGGGCTGTTGCTGGGCGGGGACCAGATCGCCTACCTGCCCGAGGCTGTGTGTGCCCAGGGTGTGGCTGTTGTCTGGTGAATAGTCTGGATATTCTTTTCAAACCTGAGGTTCCTTCTTGAAGTCCATCTTTTTCACCTGTGCGGTCACGTCTATCCTGCTCTTTCCCTTAAGCTTCATTTCCCTTTATGAGGTGTGCCTACAGTCGAAAATCTTCCTCTTGTCTCTTTAAATTTAAGCTCTTTCATTGTCTGGCTAAATCCCTTTTTTTCCCTGAGGTTCAGTGTCAAACAACTGCAAAATGGGGGAAAAGTACTAAAAGGAACATAAAGCCAAGTTGGTGATTCAATTAAATAAGAATATTAAAAAAAATAATTTGTAGTCAAAGTTTGCCACATTCCTTATTTGAGACAGATGACTATTACCTTATATGTTTTTTGTTCAGCCACCTAGTCGTGTCCGACTCTTCGAGACCCCATGGACTGCAGAACACCAGGCCTCCGTGTCCCTCACCAGGTCCCGGAGTTTGCCCAAGTTCATGTTCACTGCATTGGTGATGCTGTCCCACCTCTCATCCTCGTTGCCCTTTTTCCTTCTGCCTGAATCTGCCTTGAGTCAGGGTCTTTCCCAGTGAGTCAGCTGTTCACATCAAGTGATCAAATTCTTGGAGCTTCAGCTTCAGCATCAGTACTTTTAATGAGTAGTCAGGGTTGATTTCCTTTAAGGCTGACTGGTTTGATCTCCTTGCTGTGCAAGGGACTTTCAAGAATCTTCTCCAGCACCACAGTTTAAAAGTGTCAGTTCTTCTGGTGCTCTGCCTTCTTTATGGTCCAGCTCTCACAGTATATGACCGCTGGAAAGACCAAGTGCTGTGCTTAGTCACTCAGTCGTGTCCGACGCTTTGCGACCCATGGACTACAGCCCACCAGGCTCCTCTGTCCATGGGGATTCTCCAGGCAAGAATACTGAAGTGGGTTGCCACGCCCTCCTCCAGGGGATCTTCCCAAACCAGGGATAGAACCCAGGTCTGCTGCATTGCAGGCGGATTCTCTACCACCTGAGCCACCTGGGAAGTCCAATAGCCTTGACGATATGGATCTCTGATGCAAAGTGATGTCTTTGTTTTTTAGCACACTGTCTTGGTTTGTCATAGCTTTCCTGCCAAGAAACAATCATCTTCTAAATTCATGGCTGCAGTTACCATCCACAGTGATTTTAAAGCCCAAGAAGAGGAAACTGATCACTGCTTCTACCTTTTCCCCTTCTACATGCCATGAAGTGATGGGACCAGATACCATGATATTAGTTGTTTTTTTTTGTTTGTTTTTATATTAGTTTCAAACCAGCTTTTTCACTCTCCTCCTTCACCCTCATCAAGAGATTCTTTAGTTCCTTTTAGTAACATTATAAATTAGCAATTACCAATAAAGTATTTTTTTTTTTTTTCTGTTTTAAAGATTAAGACTACAAGGCTTGGGATATCTAGAAATTACCCAAGACCCCACAGAGGCAATTGATGGAGGCAAGATTTGAATATAAACCTACATATTCCAAGATTTCTAGGCATTTTTAATTACATTAAAAGCCTTCAACAAATGTGGATAAAGGCTCTTCAAATTGACTACAGAATGATGTTATTTTCATCAGAAGCAGCAGCAGCCCCAGCATCCACACCCCCTGCCCCCTCCCCTCTAGCTGAATTGTGTTTTGTGCTTTACTGTATCAGCTGTTGGCACATGCTGCCAGAGATGGATGATACACTGCTCTCCCTTTTAGGGCTCACTCTCTAGTGGGCAGGACATATAGGCGTGTTCCGTGATGTACACAGTGCCAGGGGAGTAGAGGAGAAGGGGAAGCTCCCTTCCCACTTCTCCAATCCAGCCTTCACATGGTCACTAGATCAGTCTTCCCGAGGCACAACTCGAGTCCAGTGTCTCAAAGGGCACACATCAGCCATGGAGATGGCCCATGGTTTCAAAGTCTTCTAAGCCCTGGAAGTCTTCTAGCTGGAGCTTGCTCTCCCACTACTTCTCTCGGATTCTCTAACCTCCATCCGACCTTGTGTACTCACTGGCTTGAATCTGCCTTTCATTTCTCTGCCTCTGTGCCTTTGTTCATTCTCTTCCCTCTATCTTAGGTCAGTTCAATTCAGTGCAGTTCTTCAGTTGTTTCCAACTATTTGAGACCCCATGGACTGCAGCACACCAGGCCTCCCTGTCTATCACCAACTCCTGGAGCTTGCTCAAACTCATGTCCGTTGAATCGGTGATGCCATCCAACCATCTCATCCTCTGTCATCCCCTTTTCCTCCTGTCTTCAGTCTTTCCCAGAATCTGGGTCTTTTTCAATGAGTTGGTTCTTTGCACCAGGTGGTGAAAGTATTGGAGTTTCAGCTTCAGCATCAGTCCTTCCAATGAATATCTAGGACTGATTTCCTTTAGGATTAACTGATTGGATCTCCTTGCAGTCCAAGGGAATCTCAAGAGCCTTCTCCAACACCACAGTTCAAAAGCATCAATTCTTTGGCGCTCAGCTTTTTCTATGGTCTAACTCTCACATCCATACATGACTAATGGAGAAACCATAGCTTTGACTAGACACACCTTTGTCAGCAAAGTAATGTCTCTGATTTTTAATATGCTGTCTAGTTTGGTCATAGCTTTTCTTCCAAGGAGTGTCTTTTAATTTCTTGGCTTTAAGTCACCATCTGCAGTGATTTTGGAGCCCAAGAAAATAATGTCTGTCACTGTTTCCATTGTTTCCCCATCTATTTGCCATGAAGTAATGAGAACGGATGCTATGATCTTCGTTTTTTGAATGTTGAATTTTAAGCCACCTTTTTTACTCTCCTCTTTCACTTTCATCAAGAGTCTCCTTAGTTCCTTTTCCATTTCTGCCATAAGGGTGGTATCATCTGCATACCTGAGGTTATTGATATTTATCCCAGTAATCTTGATTCCAGATTGTGTTTCAGCCAACCTGGCATTTTGCATGATGTACTCTGCATATAAGTTAAATAAGCAGAGTGACAATATACAACCTTCACATAGTCCTTTCCTGATTTGGAACCAGTCCACTTTTCCATGTCCAGTTCTAACTGTTACTAATTGACCTGCATACAGATTTCTCAGGAGGCAGGTAAGGTGGTCTGGTATTCCCATCTCTTTAAGAATTTTCCACAGTTTGTTATGACCCACATAGGCAAAGGCTTTGGCGTAATCAGTAAAGCAGAAATAGATGTTTTTCTGGAACTCTCTTGCTTTTTCTATGATCAAATGGGTGTTGGCCATTTGATCTCTGGTTCCTCTGCCTTTTCTGAAACCAATTTGAACATCTGGAAGTTCTCAGTCCACATACTGTGGAAGCCTGGCTTGAAGAATTTTGAGCATTACTTTGCTGGCGTGTGAGATGAGTGCATTGTGTTGTAGTTTGAATATTCTTTGGCATTGCCTTTCTTTGGGATTGGAATGAAAACTGACCTTTCCCAGTCCTGTGGCTACTGCTGAGTTTTCCAAATTTGCTGGCATATTGAGTGCAGCACTTTCACAGCATCATCTTTGAGGATTTGAAATAGCTCAATTGGAATTTCATCACCTCCACTTGCTTTGTTCATACTGATGCTTCCTAAGGCCCATTTGACTTTGCATTCCAGGGTGTCAGGTTCTAGCTGAGTGATCGCACCATCGTGGTTATCTGGGTCATGAAGATCTTTTTTTATATAGTTCTTCTGTGTATTCTTGCCACCTCTTCTTAATATCTTCTGCTTCTGCCAGGTCCCTACCATTTCTGTCCTTTATTGAGCCATCTTTGCATGAAATATTCCCTTGGTATCTCTAATTTTCTTGAAGAGATCTCTGGTCTTTCCCATTCTATCGTTTTCCTCTATTTCTTTGCACTGGTCACTGAGGAAGGCTTTCTTATCTCTCCTTGCTATTCTTTGTAACTCTGCATTCAAATGGGTATATCTTTCCTTTTCTCCTTTGCCTTTAGCTTCTTTTCTTTTCTCAGCTATTTGTAAGGCCTCCTCAGACAGCCATTTTGTCTTTTGCATTTTTCCCCCCTTGAGGCTGGTCTTGATCACTGCCTTTTGTACAATGTCATGAACCTCCGACCATAGCTCTTCAGGCACTTGTCTATCACATCTAATCCCTTGAATCTGTTTGTCACTTCTATTATATAAGGGATTTGATAGGTCATACCTGAATGGTCTAGTGGTTTTTCCTACTTTCTTGAGTTTAAATCTGAATTTTGCAATAATGAATTCATGATCTGAACTGTCTACAGTACTCATGTTTTCTCATTGTGTCAGCCTGTTCTCCATTCTTTAAGTTCCATCTCAAATTGTCAAAAGTATCTAGCTGGGAATCAGATACCTTGGGTTCAAATTCTGGCTCTGATAGTTCAGTGTGATCTGGGGTGAGTCACTTAATGTCTTTGTACTTTGGTTTCATCTTCTATAAAATGAGTACAATGTTTTATAAAGATTAATTGAGTAGTATAAATAAGGCATTTAGAACAATGCCTGACACATAAGGAGCAATATAAATGTTGGCTTGCATCATTATTATAATTATCTGTCAAGAAGCCAAACCAAATCCCAGAAGCTGAAAAGGATTTCTCCATTCTCTGAATAATTTGATTTGTCTTTTATAAAATGTGCCTTTCTTTGCCTGTTTGCATAGTTATCATACCTTCCTGGTCAGTGCTTGTGGTAGGCTGAATAATGGCCCCCCACATGTTCACATTCTAATCTCTGGAACCTATTAGTGTTGCCTTCTCTGACTTTGCAGATGTGATTAAGTTAAGGATCTTGAGATGGAGAGATTATCCTGGATTAGCCAAGTGGGTTCAAATATAGTCACAAATGTCCTTAAAACAGGGA